CCAAACTGGGTGAAGGCGTCACTTCTGGGTTCCAGGGGTTGGTGACACCCCCAAATTTGGGTAAAAGTGAGTTTTGAAAGGTTGTACCAGCAAAATTTGGTTTTTAGGGTCAAATTGGGGTTTACACCTCCTCACATCTCCATCCCTTCAACATCCCACCCCAAACTGGGTGCAGGAATCACTTCTGGGTTCCAGGGGTTGGTGACATCCCCAAATTTGGATAAAAGTGGCTTTTGAAAGGTCGTACCAGCAAAACTTGGGCTAATAAATGGTTTCTAGGGTCAAACTGGAGTTTACACCTCCTCACATTTCCATCCCTTCAACATCCCACGTTTGCTGAGCTGATCCCTTGAATTCTATTCTATATTTCTGTTATTTTGATGAGTCCTGGCGCTTTTCTTCATCCTTAGCTCTTCCACACCTTCTTGGGGTTCCAGCAAGATTTTAGACCCAGACTTTTGACTTTAGATTTTTAATGTAGGGGCAGATTAAATTGAATTCGGGGTGGAGACAATGTGAAATTCCTGATTTGTTTAATTTCCTCTTTTATACATCAAAAATCAACTTTTTTGGTGGCAATGGATGGGCTTTAAGGTCCCTTCCCACCCAAACCATTCCAGGATTCCATGGCCTGGTAAACACATGGGTATAAATCATCCATCCTGCAGAAGTTCAGGAAGCTCAGAAGTGAAGGAATTGTGTCAGTTTAGATCCAATTTTTCTCCTGTTATCACATGTTGAGCCCTTTATTCCTCTTGACCCTAGAAATTTATTTTAACTTCCTATTTTAGAGTCACCCCCAGATTCTCCTGCAGGACTTGTTTACTTGTAGCTTCGTGGTGTTAATGCTGCTTTTTCTCTTTAATTAATAACCACAATTTTTCCTCTGTTGGAGAATAAAAGGAAGTTATTTTGGTTTTTTTTCCCCCCCGATGTGTTACAGCAATAAGCTGGAAAATAGCAATTTCTTTGTGATCTCTGGCACAGACTCAGGATTCTCACGTCCTGCCTGTTCACAGTTCCTGTCATTGGCTGCCTGTAGTTAGAGGAGGGAAAAAAATTGTGCTTTTCCCTGCCAGGCTGCTCAAGTGTGAGGGGGTGTGGGATCAGCAGGACACCAGTTGTCCCTGTGGCAGTGGGAAGCCATTCCCTGTGTCCTGTCCCTCCATGCCTTGTCCCCAGTCCCTCTCCAGCTCTCCTGGAGCCCCTTTAGGCCCTGCAAGGGGCTCTCAGCTCTCCCTGGAGCCTTCTCTTCTCCAGGGGAACCCCCCCAGCTCTCCCAGCCTGGCTCCAGAGCAGAGGGGCTCCAGCCCTTGATGGATTCCCATTAATGGGAATATCCATATCATGGATATTCCCTCATCCCAGGGCTGGAAAGCTGTGGCTCTGAGGATTGTCCAACCAGGAATTCCTTCACCAGTAATTCTGGGACTTGAAATCATATCGAAAGTCTGTTTGGCTTTAATAGAGAAGATGTAAAGGATGTGAAGAAATCATGGAATCCCAGAATGGTTTGGGTTGGAAGGGATCTTAAAGATCATCCCATTCCACCCCTGCCATGGGCAGGGACACCTTCCACTGTCCCAGGTTGCTCCAACCTGGTCTTGGACACTTCCAGGGATCCAGGGGCAGCCACAGCTTCTCTGGGAATTCTGTTTTCAAGCCCAATATTTCAGGTGTTACCACGTGAAATAAATAGGAAGTGATGTTTTCGTCCCACTGTTGCCTATCAATGGCCTGCAGCAAAATCTCTTCCAGTAATGACAGAATTCCCGGTTTTTAAGGAAGGAATTCCTGGCTGGGAGAGTGGAGAGGCCCTGGCCCAGGTTTATATACATATATATCACAGTGAAAAATATGGAGTATTGGGATTGGAGTGAAAAATGTGGAGCATT